ATTCCTCTTTCAAATGAGCCGTGAACGAATTATAGAAGTCTGATGGTTTTTCAGAAAATCGGAAAATACGAAAATATGTGAAAATTCACGTGTTTTGGTAACAAGACCCTTAACAGAGTGCTTGGCCTCTAGTTTTTTAAAAATGCACTTCCAGAAAGAGTTATTGCAGGGTTAGTGGTTATTTTCTATACTCTTTCGAATGAGACATAAATAAAGATAAAATAAGATTTGCCTCCGGACAGTGTGGTCGTATTAGGTCGGTTTTAAACATGATTTTCATTTGTGTAAAGTCATGTTTGATCATCAATAGGTCAAAGAATGTTAACCGAAGAACGAGTTGAAAGCATCAGGATGTACAGTACTTAGACAATTTTATATTTTATTTATAAGAAATCTATAAAAAAGAATTTACAAAACCCTATGGATTTCCGCAAAAGTTTCTAGAAAATCCTTAAACCAAAACATGAATTCTCAATTTTTGCGATGATATAATCATATTTAGTAGAAAAAACTAAGGATGTCCAGATACTTCCGACTCGTTCTTCTGTTTTCTGAGTGAATGGTGAATTTTTTAATATTATGTGAAAAGAGCCTGGAAATCCTAATTTTCGTAACACTTGGTTTTCATTAGTTTTTTAAATCTTTCTCTAAAAACAAAAAATGTTTGCTTGTGGAATCATGCCTTCAAGTCATCTCTTTCGAATACCGAAAATCCGAGTTCTCTAGCTGCTTTCTATCAAAAGTTATTGAAAAAATAGCAGAGTCCATTCGTTTTTTGAACAGACAGTATTACAAGTATTTACTACTTATTTTCTACGCCCGGCTATTAATACCCTACCTATTCGTAAACGGCTTTCTTAACATTCTTCGACTTACTGATGATGGAACATGACTTTATACAAATGAAAATCATGTTTAAAACAATTTTTATGAAAATACTAATTCTAATGGTACTCATTATTGAGCATTTTTCAGCCTGTTTCGCCGGTTATATTTCAATGTACTATAGTGTGCATTTTGTAGAGAATTTTATTCTCTACAAGGTATGCTAAAAGTTGTTCTTCGAATTTAGAAGTTCTAGAAATTTGGATTTATAGGTAACTTTGGAAGGAGTATCTGAAAATCGTGTTTAAAAAAAAACTTTGAAGGTTTTATCGCCTTTTTACAGCATTCTCGATCTTTTCACGGAGTCTATCTTAATCTTCCTTTTTCTCTCTTTTCTCCATATTTTTCATAAGCTCATGTCATATAACTGAACTATGACGAACTCTATTCTTTTTTGAAAAAGTACGCTAAATTGCAGTATATGAGCGAATCGTAACTTTTTTGTACAACTGGAAGTGAATCACATGGTTTGATAGAGAAGTGAAATCTCTTTAAGATTTGCTGGTTTATTTTCAGTTTTGCTACTTTCATTATAGAAAAAAAATTGTTTTTCTCCGGATGACTCATCGCAAAATTGGTATTTTTTCAGTTTCAGATAGTATAACTCGGCGAGATGTGAGCGCACGATGCTGAAACTTTTGGTATCGATGGGTGACAAAGCCACGAGCTAAATAAAAAAAAATTTTGAAAATCCAATCAGCCGAAGCCGAGTTATTAGGAACCTAAATGAAAAAGATAATTGTACAAAAAAGTTACGATTCGCTCATATATGTGCACCAGTTAAGTGCATGGATTTAACTTAAGACCGTGCGACTAAGTTGCGCACTTGAGAATTTTTATGAAACACCCGCCTGAACTTACCATGAATTTTAAACTTCTCGTGTCAGAACAGGACAATTACGGGGCGTTCTGGACGGGTACAAGAATGCCTAGTACTTTTTTACACAGTAACGGATCTATACGGGGCGTCTTTTTGTGCACAAGAACGGGTTCTAGTATTGGGCAGCTTTTCTTTTTATTTTAGAACGGGTACAGGTCGTTCTGGACGGGTAGCAATACACCCAGCACTTTTCCTTATAGGAACGGGTCAAGTATGGGGTGTCTCCTTGTGTGTCAGAACGGGTTCCAGTACGGGGCGACCTTTTCTATCAGAACAGGTCATCCATCGGGCCGTTCTAGAATGGGTATCACGAACGGCACATACTTCTTGGTTAGAACGAGTATAAGTATGTGGCGTTCTACGACGTGCTTCGGAATGGCCCATACTATTTCAATTAGAACGCATAAAAGTACGGAAATATTTAAAAGTACGGGATCAGAACCCCGTACTTATTTTTAGTACGGCGTTCGAACGCCCGTCCCATGATATTTTTAACCTCTTGGGAGATCGACAGAAATTTAAGGAAAGTCTTTTGTTCGGGTTCAACTTCATTTAGCATAGTGCTGTCAATTGATTGACTCCAAAAGCAATAATAATAAATTCATCGATAAACCTCTACACTCGATAAACTAGCTATGGATACTAAGAAATCCATGCCGTGAAGTTCCGTTTTCTTGAATCAACAATGAGAGCACAAGCAGATTGATGATGTCATTTCTAGTGATATTCATTCAATAATACCGTTTTTTACATTCTGTATTGACGCTTGTGTTTAAGAGAGGTTTCTCCAGCCCCGTGGGAAATGCCGTAACCCGATATTCATTGACCTATAGTTTTTATCACATATTCGAATTCTATGATCAAAACTGGGGTTATGAAAAAATTTGTAGACCTCCAGAACTTATTTTGACCGAGTTATAGAATTTACAAAATAAGATGTAACAGAGTTTTCAGAAAAAGTGCTATCCTCAGTATTTTGCCTATATCTCAGCCATTTTTTATCCGTTCTCTTTCAGCAACATTTCGTTGGAAAGTCTGATAAAAACTGTACAAAATCATATATCTTTGAATTTTTTCAAGTGCAAACTGAATGTTTCGCTAGCCAATCAATTGAAAAATGGCTGTTTGAAAAAAGCGTTTTTTCAAAGAAAATTAAAAAAGTCCGGCCTATATAACAAATGTCCCCAGAAATATTCATCGCATCTTGTAGAGTGATCAATTCTCTACAAACTGAGCTATAAAACTTCATTCCACAACTTCCGCAAAATGACGAAAATTGCATAACAATTAGTCATGCCATAAGTACAAATGTTTCATCTTTTCGAGAAAAATTGAATGTTAATGCAAAAAAAAATTGTTATACGAATATGAGGACGATGGTTCAAATGCATCCCCTTTGAAGCGTGTGCAGTTGCCAGTTGGTGTCTTATGTGCACCCAACGTCAGGATGCATACTTCAAGTAAAGGCAATTAATTACCGGTTCTTCGAGGTGGTTTTTGTTGGCTGACTTTTACATAACAGGGCAAAGTGCATATCTTTGTATGTGTGTACACATGACGACAGCACTTCAGCGATACTGTCTGTCTTTGATTCAGCGAGTAACGATGAAATGGTTTGTTGGCTCATTATACTGCTTGTGAAGACAGTATTATCGTATATAATTGTTTGTGTGAAAGATTCGGCAGAGACTACGCCGGTTCTGTGTTATGTTCACTCATATTCGTCTCTCCGGCTGTACGTTTCTTCTCGTCTCTTTGTCTTCAGTGTAGTTCATGTGTGCGTTTCTTTTTTCTTTCTTTTGTCTCATGCATACTGCGTGACCTTAGGTCAGAGATAGACAGGCGAGATATACATTTGCATTCAACCGTATCGTACTGTACCGTTTTGGTCATTCCACCTTTTTCTTTCATCCACGCTACCTGACCTTGGGTCAGAAACAGAGAGAGAAGAGAGACATTTACTATATCTACACTTGTGCAGGTCTCTTATTCACTCATTACTTCTACTACTACCTTACCGTACACACACAACGATTAGGTCTGTACTGTTTATTCTTTATTCTATTCATTCTAATTACACAAAATCATCTAACTCCTGGACAGATAAAATATTTGATCGATAAATTCAATGACGGTTTACTAAATAAAATGCGGTGGAAGCCGGAGGAATTGGTCACTGAAATGCAACAAAGGAAGCTACCAGGTGGGAAACTTTATTTCACACCGAAAGAGTTTCTAAAAGCATTACAGATTCGTTCATTTTTTTCACGATTAAAAGCACTACGTGGAAAACCACAGCAGAATATAGAAGTAGACGATGAAGATGACCAGGCATTTATGGAAGTGTCACTTCGATATAAGCTGAGAGATGCTGCAGGTGTATCCAAACCAGCAACCACGATAGTTCTGCACACACCACAGATAAACGTCTCGGATCAACTCCTGGTGTTAGACCACCGAACAAAAGACGTCAGTCAGAAATGAACAGCAAGAAGGACTGAAACTATATATTGAACTAGGATCATCGTCCTCATATTTGTATAACAATTTATGTTTTTTCATTTTAATGCAAAAAAAAAATTTTTTAAAAATTTACTTTTTCTCGAAAAGATGAAACATTTGTACTTATGGCATGACTAATTGTTATGCAATTTTCGTCATTTTGCGGAAGTTGTGGAATGAAGTTTTATAGCTCAGTTTGTAGAGAATTGATCACTCTACAAGATGCGATGAATATTTCTGGGGACATTTGTTATATAGGCCGGACTTTTTTAATTTTCTTTGAAAAAACGCTTTTTTCAAACAGCCATTTTTCAATTGATTGGCTAGCGAAACATTCAGTTTGCACTTGAAAAAATTCAAAGATATATGATTTTGTACAGTTTTTATCAGACTTTCCAACGAAATGTTGCTGAAAGAGAACGGATAAAAAATGGCTGAGATATAGGCAAAATACTGAGGATAGCACTTTTTCTGAAAACTCTGTTACATCTTATTTTGTAAATTCTATAACTCGGTCAAAATAAGTTCTGGAGGTCTACAAATTTTTTCATAACCCTAGTTTTGATCATAGATCAATAAATATCAGGTTATGGCTCTTTTGCTTGTTCTCGGTACCGTTGCGAAACGTCTCTTAAGGCTCATTTGGAAAAGTTCAGAATGAGTCAAATTTATTTTAAATCATAATCAACTGACTATAGAATGGAAGAATAATAAATAGCTCAGTTAATTATATTTAATTGTATTGTAAACGAACAGATAACACGTAAGTACTATTTCCCTTGCTTTTCAAATTTGTACCTACACTAATGACATTCCCTTTCACAGAGACATCTTCACTTGTATTGTCGATAACACTTGTTTGAAGTGCACCATAGATTTCAAGTTTGGCTTGAACCGATTTGTCTTTATAATTTGATAGTGTAACAAGAACATTGTAATATCGAACAACGGGTTTCTCTTCACTACTTGTCAAGTTACTTTCAACATAATAACGTACATCCGAATCTTGTCCAACTGAAACAATTTGAGTGTAGTTGGCCGGTACATCTGGTAAGTTGGCTTGGCCAACTAAAAGCTGTTGATCTCGAATTGTCACAATACCACTTGGCATAAATTGATTAGGTGTTAGTGCATACCTTCGCTGAAATGTTCCTCTCTGGACGGTAGCGCCAATACTCACCGATGCCGCATAAGAGAAATCACAAGCACAGAGAATGTCAACGAAGGGAATTGTGATTGTACTTGCTGGTCGCAGTGTATATTTTTGAGGAAATGTATACGAATAGATACCCATTTGATTTCCATCTGCAGTAACACTGTCAGCTTGTGTGGACACAGCTTTACTGAGTGCCATTGTTCGTATGACTGGTGAACTAGAATAAGATGATGCTAGTGGAACATCGCCGCCAAGAAGACGCGTATTTTCAACGGAGTATTCTTGTTGCATATTATTTCGAATATTTGCGTATGACTTTAGATTACAAACTAAATGTGATATATGATATGAGAGAAGAACGAGAAAGACTGTGCTGATTTACCTCCTTTGGTTGATATTGACAATGCATATCTTGGTGTCCATGTTATGCTACGAACCAAATAGGATAATGTGCCACTGTTTCTGGGTTTCTGATCAACAAAGTCAATGGATAATGTTGTACCAGCATCAAGCGGTTTCGTTTTGTAGTCCACATTTCGGCTATCAGCATAAAAATATGTGCCAGATTCAGTATTTTCAAGTAATAACGTGTTTGGATCGACAATTTTTGCTTCGATATCCTCGCAGCGTCCCTCACCACCACAATTAGTTGTCCGGTGTACGATTACTTCCTGACCTTTCAAATTTTCGACCGAATTGTACACTTCTTGTTTTAGAATTGGCGATCCATCCCAAGACAGTGAACCATCAATAATATTCGAATATTCGGAGTTTGAAAAAAAGTACTGATACTGTTTTCCAATCAATTTATGTTCTTGACGAATTTCTGTAAAACTTTTATAGCAAAGCAAATCAATTGCACATAAATATTTTAACAGCGTTAATGTGATCAATATTTTCAACATATTTTTTCT